CAAGCACCACAGCAGCTCCCTGAGTATCCTGGGCAGTAACCTTCTGCAGAGGAGCAGCCCACACCTGGGAGAGCTGGCTCCACATCTCTAGCAAGGGAGAGGCATCTGTCTGTGAACAGGACTCACCCTAGAGGACACAGGCACTGCGGGGTGGCCTGCCAGGAGACAGGAAGCCCCAGGCGGGTGGCCCAGCTCGTGCTGGGCGCTCTTGGCTGGCTAAGTGAGGTGCAGGTCACCAGGCAGGACACCTCCAGAGAGGCCCAGGGTGACAACTGCCCAGCAAGAATGGGGGACACAGGCAGGCAGGTACAGGTACAGGAAAGGCCTAGCCCAAATGGGAGCGCAGGGTCTCAGGGGCAGCTGGAGCTCCCATCCTGGGCCAGGTCCTGGGTCAGCTCAGTGGTCTCCAGGAGCCCTAGCAGGCTAGGCAGGGGCTTTACAGCATGCACGGTCCAGGGAAAGACCCTAGGCAGATCTAGAAGGCCCCAGAGCCACAGGGGGCCAATCAAGGTAGCCCAGGGTGTGTGGACACAGGCTAAAGGTCCTGAAGTTGCTTCCATGTCCTGCATCTGTCTGCCTCTTTGCAGGGATCAGCTCCACCCCACCACGAAGAGACTCTCTGAGGGACACAGTCAACACTGCCTATGGACTGCTCAATATGCCCCAGGGTAGGTGCCAGGGCAGGTCTCAATGCTGCAGGAAAAGCACTCATCTGATCTAGGCCACACTACCCCACCTGAAGAGCAAGAGGCAGCAAAGAAGAGGTGCTCTGGGCAGAAGGCTCAGATCCAAAATGGAACATACTTCAGCCCTCATTCCTGTCCCTTTAGGATAGGATAATCAGGCCCAAGCATATGGGGCCCCATAAACAGGACTAAAGTAGAGGTCCAAAGTGACACAATCTTAAAGCGTCTGCAAGCAGGTACAGGGGCCGGGGGTTCGATCCCCAGGCCTACTGTGCTGGCCCCACACCCGGGGCTCATAGAGACAGCAATTGAGACTGGGCATGGTGGCGCGCCCCTGTAATCCCAGCTCTTGGGAGGTTGTAAACAGGTGGATCACTACGAGTCTGATGTAGTAGTGAGACCCTCAACACCCTGTAGCCCCTTCCCTAAAATACGAAACAAAACAAAAACAAAAAAAAGTGACACCATCACTCCTAACGTAGACAGCACTGGATGGGCCACACCCTTGCTCCCTACACATCATGTACCTTGAAGTCCTGAACTGTGCATGCTGTAAAGCCCCCACCTAGCCTATTAGGGCTCCTGGAGACTCCTGAGCTGACCCCCAGGACCTGGCCCAGGATGGAAACTCCGGCTGCACCTGAGACCCTGCGCTCCCACTTGGGCTAACGTGGTGTGGGAGTCCTGTTTGCTGCTGGGATGGGCTCAGCTCCTTCAACACTAACCAGGCCTTTGGAAGCTGGAGCTTTGGAAGGTCAGCATGGAGTGTTTTCCTTTCCATCTTTATTCCCCTCCAGTAGAGTGCACAAGTAAGAGAAAGTACCATCCCACACAGAGAGTACACTTGTGTCTACAACTTTATTGTGATGAATGACACCCCCCTTCTGTGTAGACAGCATACTTGTATCTGACACTACTGTGAGGAATGACACCCCATCTGGGTAGACAGCACACCTGTGTCTGGCTAGGCCTACACTGTGAGGAACACCCGCACCCCTACCCACTATGTAGATGGCACCCCGTAACTGGTCATGTCTCCACTGTGAGAAATGACTCCTCCTGTGTAAATGGCACACCTGGGTCTGGCCATGTGACCACTCTGAACATGGACTTCCTTCTATGTAGACAGCACATCTGGGTCTGGCTATGTCTCCAGAGCTCCTGAAAGATCTCAAACTGTGAGAGGGTAAACTGCAGCTGAAACTCTGCAGCACCCACCTTTCCACAGAGCTGGACTTTTGAAATAGGTAAAGCAATTTGCTGTTTGAGATAGGCAAATTAACAACAACAAAAATCATCTATGGGTGCCAAAACAGATGGTCCCCATCTGCACCTAGAGGAAGAAGTGCCAGGCACAGCCAGCCCCAACTGCACAGTAGAGTGCTATGGTCAAGAGTCCTCCTGAAGGCTAGAGGTGCAGGGCCACCCCTTTCCGTGGAAGGTGCGCATGTCTGTTCAGGAAGCCAGCTTTGGCCACCTCCTGGGAGCTACAGGGACCAGCACAACCTGTTCTGTGGCCTGAGGGCAGCTGCTTATCAGACACAGGGATGGACCCTGCTTCTGGCTCGCATATCCCCCAGGCAGAGGGCAGCTGACCACAGCACTGCCCTTGGGGAAGGGGTTCCAGTCACTGCTGATCAGCACAAGCAGATAGCGCTCACAGGGAACACAGGCTATGCAGAGCCATCACCCCAAGTTCCCCAAGTGTTGCTGCTTCCTTGGCTCCTCCACCTCATGAGAGAAACAGAAAGTCTAAGGTGACCAGGTTTAGGTCTGCAGAACCCCTGCCCACCACCCATCCCTTCTGCACCCTTCAGCCCTGCCACAGACCTCTGTAGATCGCTAACAGCCACTTTGCCCACCTCAGCCAACAGCCACCACCTAGATGACAGCTACTATCTAGACCTTGGAGAAGCAGTTGCTGCTCCCCAGGAACAAAAGAAGCAGGGCCCACTTCCTTCCAGGGACACAGCTGTGCAGAGGGGTGGAAGAGCTACTGGGAACAGGGGACTGAAGCAAGGCCTGCACCAGCACCCTAAGGGCAAGGTGTGGTACCCTCTTCTGCTTAAAAGGTGCACTTTACAAGTCTCCATCTGCCACACCCACTGCTGTGCCTGGCTTCCCTTGGTTTTCTCTGACAAATGAGCAAGGTCACCGACACTGCCTGAAGGAGAGGGCAAGGCAGCTCCAAAGCCTGGGTGGACAGACTATGAGCAAGCAGTCTGCGGGAGGGAGGGCGGCTTGGCCCCTGGGCTGGCTCCTGTGGGCCCTGTACCTGGGATCGCCCCCCCCCCTTGGGACCCACGGGGACTACAGAGCAGTGGCCACGCTTTAGACTGCAGGCTGGGGGCTGGCTCCCTAGCTACGTGCCTAACAGTACGTGCTCTGTGCTTCAGTGTTCCCATCTACAAAATGGAGGCCATCAGCCTTCCTTGAAGTCACCTGAGCGAAGAATTCATGTCTGCACCGAAATGTGTAACAGATATTGTGAAAGAGCAAGAAAACGTTCAAATGGCTAAGGGAACTAGGGAGTGGGGAGGAGGAAGGGAAAAGGAAGGAAGGGAAAATAAAAAAACAAGAAAAGGAGAAAATGGAAACAAAACTTTTGTAAATAGGGAGAGGAAGAGAATTACAACAAGGTAGAGAAGTGAGAGAAAATGAATCAAGATTTATCATGTTCAGGTACAAATTCCCTATGATAAATGTGATTTTTTTTTTTTTTTCCCAGAACTGGGGCTTGAACTCGGGCCCTTGGGCAAGTGCTTATTCTACTGAGCTATCTCCTTAGCCCCCATAAATGTGATTATTATGTATATCCTAAACTGTACCAATACGCTTAATTAAGAACAAAAGAATTCATGTCCTGAAAGACAACTTGGCAGTTATCACCCCAGAGGAAATCCACTACACTTCAGCAATAAATAGGAACAACCCACACCCTTCTGGGGGGGATCTATAGTCATGAGCTGCTGAGAAGCCCTGTACTTTCCTAGGTAGGCTCAGTAAAGCAGACAGGTGACTACAGTCGCCCCGAAGGGCCCAGGAGAGTCAGGTGAGCCTCGTAAACTGGCGGGGCTGCTCTAAACTGCTGCCTGTGGCACCCCAGAGGAAGGGCTCCGCTAGTCTCTGTGCATTGTGACCTCAGACAGTGGCTGAAGCCCTTTCCTCCCTCCCTTGGTAAAGGATACTCTCCACATGAGCCCTGCCCTGGGCACTGGTAGCCTGAAGGGGACATGGGCAGCAAACACAGGGCCTGCTATCCACCAGCTGACACGCTTGAGGGGGGGAAAAAGCTGCAGGGAGCCAAAGAGTCACATATGGGATCTCAGGCAGAGGAGGTGAACCTGAGGGCTTTGGAGAAGGGCTGGCTTTTCAGCTAAATCCAAGAGACGACAGAAACACCATGTAGGGCACAGGACAGAGCAAAGGTGCCCTCCTGAGCCAGGCAGGTGAACAGACCTGAAGCAGGGCAGCTCTTGACAGCCTCACTCAGAAGTGCACGGACTGGCACAGAGTGCCTTATAGTAAGTGCTCAGGAAACGTCCTGCCATCACTGTCACTGGACAGAACACCCTAGACTGTCCTTGGCACAGAGCTCTGCACGCACCAACATTGGAGACAGGGCCACCAAGGCCCACTTCATGTCCTGCTCCTCTGCCTATCTACAATCCAGACAGAACGCAGCAGCCTGCCCCCACACGCAGGGCTATCTCTCAAAGCAGCGCCTGATCCAGAGGCTGCCAGCAGACCCCACTTCCCTTTTCCCGAAGTTTCGGCTCTGAGATGGAAGTCCCAGGCTACGAGTGTTGCCTGCGACCCGAAGTCCAGCAGACAAGGACCCCTCAGAGCCACCGCTGCACGGGGCTCATTCAGCAAGAGGTCACTTGGAGTTTCTGGGACCATTCGCCCTCCCCAGCCCCATCACCTGGCCAGCATGTCCACCCCACAAGATTCCATACAGACAAGAATCCCCTGCCCATCTCTCGTTTCCTCCTCTACTCACCTGGGTCCAGGCAATAAGGGCAGTATTTGCTGTGTAAACACTGCAGGATAGCTCGCCCGGACAAGCAGAGTGTTTTTCCTAACCTACTACCCTAGGACGAGCAGCCTTCACCAGTAAGTGTCACTAAGGCCGACCCCTCTCCGCTCCAGGAAACCCAAGAGAAGGGCGATCCGGAAGAAGTGCGTCCACGCTGTCGCCGCCTCCCAAAGCCCAGCACCGCCCGCGCCCCGACCCCGGGAGGCTCAAGCAGACCCTCCCTCCGGGTGCCCACACGGCTGGGCCAGGGGTGCGGCTCCCCGGCGTCCACCCACCTCCAGCGCCTCCAGCGTGCTGAAGCTGGCGATAGCGAAGCCGTCGATGACCTCCTCCTCCTGCGAGCTGGACTCGCGGCGGCGGCGGCGCGGGGGGCGCGGAGGCGGCGCGCCGCGCAAGCCTGCGTTCTCCTTGCCGGGGCTGGGTTCAGGCTCGTCGCCGGACGACGGGCTGTGAGCGCGGGCGTCGCGGGCAGCCTCCCGGC